GAATAACGACCGAAGAAGCCAGGGGTCTATAGAGGACGGAATAAACCGAGAATAAAGAAAAAAGTGAAAGAAAATCAAGTTGACTATGGAAAATGAAGGAAGAGGTAAATGCTGCTACAGTTATCTCCAACCCATAGCAACCCAGAAAGATGCACGTGGGGTATGAGACACGCAAGAAAGATCAAACCAGAACTTTAAAACACGAAGGACATTTTCTCGATTCCAAAAAATAAGCCCCCGTATGGGAGGGGGTTCTATACCTACCCCCGGACCAGATCATAGTACATGAGGTGTATCTAACATATAGGAGACACCTAATCAAGAGGAATGCCCTGGTATTCGCCGTAGCCAAGGGCAAGGTTCATGTTCTCTGTAGCGAGCATTAGTTTCAATTCTATCCACGTGTGTTCAGGGACTGTTAGGCTGGAGGACTTACGCAGGCACTGGGTGGCAGCACCCTTGAGCAGGTTGTCAATGGTAGCACACACGACGACCCGCTTGCCGCTGGAGTGGACAGCAAAGCCACCAACCTCAACGCCGTGGCGGCCAGCGATGTCCTTGACGGAAGGAGGCTCGCCAACGATCTTCACGAGCTTCTCACCAGCATAACGATCCTGGTAGATGTTGCGGATGTCGCGGGAGCTCATCTCCTCCTTCAAGGGGATGCTGATAGTGTGCTGTATAGAAGTCAGCCTCGACTCAACATGAAATCAAATGGCATAAAAACAAGGGTAACATACGTGAATTCCCTGGAACCAGACAGCAACGTGAGGGATGAACGCAATGCTGGTACCGAGCTGCGCGCTGATCTCCTTCTCGTGGATGTGATCAGTCAAGCTGTAGGGGATGATGTTGTTGGTGAGGTTGTCCACATCGTTCTTGGGGCTGGGCTTAGTGCCAGCTCCGGAGTAACCGGAAACACCGAAAACAGTGGGCTGGCCACCGAGGAAGGGCACAAGGGGAGCAATTCCAATCTGAGCGGCAGTAGCGTAGCATCCAGGGTTGGCGATACGGGTAGCCTGGGCAATCTTGGAACGGCTGACCAACTCAGGCAGACCGTAGGTCCAGTTGCTGTCGAAGCGGTAGTCGGCACTCAGGTCAACGATCACGTTGCCCTTCTCGGCACCCTGGTCCACAGCATCAACAAAGGGTTTGCAAACGCCGTTGGGCAGAGCCATGACCCAGCAGTCGACGTCTCCGTTGGAGGACATGCGCTTAACATCGTCGGGGCTGAGGTTCTCGTAGATGATCTCACGCTTGTCGTAACCCTGCAGCTTCTTGCCAACCAGCTCGCGAGAAGAGACGTGACGCAGATCCATGTGAGGGTGGGCGTTGAGCAGGCTAATCAAAGCCTGGCCGGTGTAACCACGGGCTCCGATAAGAGCAACCTTGGCGGGGCGGGTGTTGGACATGTTCTTCTCTCCCAACGGGGGGTTAGGGTTCGTCGTGGCGTAGGTTCTGACGGTCTGCACAGGAACCATCGGACGAGCGGAACGAGCGGCGCGCAGAGCATTGCTGGTAGAGGAGAAGGCACGCTTCTGCTCAGCAGAAGCGCCGCTAGCACCGAAACCCTTGCCAATGTGAGTGGCGGCCTGGGCGGCGCGGTGCAGCCTCGACTCGAGGTTGATGTCTCCAAACATCTGGCGACCGTGCTGGTTGAACTCCTGCACCAGCTGCTTGACCTCCTCACCGCTCTCGACACCGTACCAGAAGAGAACCTCTCCCTCACGGCTGAGGCTGCCATCGGCCTTGTCAAAGAACCAGGTCAGGTTCTCATCATCCTCCTTGACGGTCCAGACAAGCTTGGGGTAGTCCTTCTTGATGGAAGCAAAGACGTTGTCAGCAACGTTGGTCAACCAGCCGGACTTGGTGATGGTGAAGGTAGCCAAGTGAGCCAGGGAAGAAGTAGCGTCCTTCTGAGGGGGCAGAACAACAGCCAGGGCCTCCATAGGCTCATCATAGTAGACCTTGAAGTCACGCTCCTTCAAGCCCTCGACGTAACGGTCAACCGTGGCGCGGGCATCCAGGCCCTCGCGGTCACGAACCAGGACCTCCTTGAGCTTCTCGAGATCCTCGAACTCAGAGAGGGAAGTCTTAACGTGGACCTTGTTTCCACGGCGGATCAGCGTACCGGCTCCAGAGTCGGTGAAGAGTTCCTTCTGCAGATCAGCAGGGTGGATGATGGCCACACTGGAAGTACGAGGCAGGTCGCTGAGCAGGTCCTTCATCTCCTTGATCTTCAGGCGGGTACCGTGACGGACCCACCACTGAGTCATCAGGTGATCGTACTCCTCGTCGAGGTTGATCACAGAGATCTTCTCACCGGTGTCGCCGTTGAACAAGCCACCCTTCTCGGCAAGGTAGACAATCTTGAGCGGCTGGAGCGCACGCGCCAACTCACCGGCAGCCACATCAGCGTTGACATTGAGAACCTGGCCATCGGGGGTTTCGGCCATAGACGTAAGAATGGGAAGGCAGCCAGCCTCAATGGCAGACTCAATTGGCTTCTTGTTCACGCCATTGATCTTGCCAACCAGGTTGTACTTGTCCTTGTCCAGGTAATCAGCGGTGAAGACACCCGCGTTGAGAGGGCGCGCCCGGACACCCATGCGCTCCAACTCCTCAATTAGCTTCAAGTTCTCCTCCAAGAACAGCTTCCGGGCCAGAGCCAATGTCTTTCCATCAGTGACACGGATTCCATCTTCGAACTGAGGCTCGACACCGGCGTCCTCCAGCATACGGTTAAGCTGGGGTCCAGCACCGTGGACGACGATCGGGTAGAGTCCGACATGGTTCAGGAACGCAAGGGCGGAGGAAAGAGTTTGGAGGTGTTCGGTGATGATGGCACCGCCGACCTTGATGACAGCGAACTGCTGGGAGGAAACGGAGGTGAAGTGAGAGAGATACTGCTGCACCTCGCGCTTGGAACCGATGTTGCTCAGCAGCTGGACAACGGTCGAGCGGGTGGAGGAAAGCTGGGGGTCAGTAGCGCGGGAGTAGTGACGACTCTGCAACAGGGGAACCGCAGAGGCCTTCAGGGATTGACGAGCAGAGGCGCCGCCCAGTCTGGCAGAGGAAACAGCATGCTGTGCGGAGAAGGCGCGGAGGGGCTTGCTGGAGGAAGCTCTCCGCACGGCGGTGCGAAGGGAGAACATATTGCCAGCCAGCATGCGGCAGCTTCTGAGGCCTATATCGGACAGGAAGGTCGGAGGGAGGGAGACCTGGGAGGGGAGAACGGGGTTGGGAGTCAGAGGGAGTTAAGTAGAGGTAGCAAGTGGTAATGAAGGTTGAGAGGAGAAGGTGACTGAAGAGGGAAAAAAGGTTGTGCGGAGGTAGTAGTGCGGGTTCATCAGGGAATTTGCCGCAACCCCCCAAAGAGTTTGATCGTCCAGATAGAGATTATCGGCCACTCCTCGGAGCGGGTGCGCGCCCTTTGGGAAGAGGGGAATTAAATTATTACTCACTAGTTAGCTCCGACCCAATGGCTGGCCGCAATCGCCTTGTTCGGAGGTGGGTTTTTTTTCTTTACTTTTCGGCCGTGACCAGTTCTGTCCTTGAGTCAAGTTAAGCCTTGGGGGGGGTTTTTTTTTTATAAAGCCTTTTTCAATGACGCTCTTTTGCCGCGTTCGGGAGCGCCCTTTATATCTTTCTCTCTCCCCACGCGTTGCCTCGAAATTTAGGCCGTTTTCACAAGCTAACCAGGAGCACCTAGATCTCCGTCGAACCTGTCACTATATGTGAGCGAATTTCGATCTGGCCACTGGAATAAATTGCGCAAAACCCGGCTTCTTAAGGTATATATCGAGGGATAAACGCCAGTCCGCACAAGTGCCCGAAATGCTGGCTTGGCTGCGACTTTCGGAGCCGGGTATCGAAAAAAGTGACTCACCACATTTACTCTTATTCCAAGGTCCCGGTTCCCATTATTTCCGGTTGCCCTTCGCGCTCCCCATCCTCAAACCTCGCTTCCCTCTTTCGCATCGTCACACGTAATGGAAACCTAGCATATGGATCCCGACGATCCCCTGTGATCAATTTCCATCAATCAATAATAACTCTTCAAGCCGTTATCAGATCTCGCTAACTGCCGACAGCCTATCACTGTCTTGACTCGCTGGAGTCGTGCTCCAGCACGACTCAGGCCACAGGTGTCAAATCCGTCAGTGCAGATGGATCCTTTTCGTTATCTGATCCTCCCTTTACCTAACACGTACATCTGGGTATCCAGATTCCATATTAATGTGGTCCACATCTCTTGCTCTTCGGTCCTCTTCATCCGACCCTCTCCTCCCTTTGCTTTTTCCGTGGGGTGCGGGTTTTATCTATGACTGGTAATCTCCTCCGTAGTAGTAGTATCCGCAATACGAGAATCTACCCGTGTCTCAGGCTACGATGGGTCGGACTTTTGGCCAGATGAGTGCCTTGACCGTCTTACTCGTCAGGTCCTTCTCTCTCCGTCTCTTCCCCCTCTCGCTTTTATGCAGGTGCAAGTCTCAAAAGGACAAATTAGGTTGCCTGTACTATACTCGCAGTGTACTCTTGAGTGTAATCTGGAGCAGAGGTCCATTAAAGGCTAAAAAAAGGAAAGACACAAAGGAGATACATAAAGAAAAAAAAAAAGGGAAAAGGAAAAGGAAAAGGAGCAAACATAGGAGACCAAAACCAACAAACAGCACTGTTACTTGAACACGAGGAAGCACCGGAGAGTATCATTTACATCTTCACCGTCGATGGAATCATGTGGCGTAGCCTCAATCTCCATACCGGCTCATAGCGTCCATGGCGTATAGAGACAACAAGACTTTATTCGTGAGAACGAGGTTGACGCCCGAGAAAAAAGCAGGTGGTATTAATAGCTGGAAACAACGGCTTCGTCTCAACACAGATAAACCAGGGCCAGGCGAAAGAAAAATCGTCATCCATTCCCAAGCCAATCATGACTGTCGCGCTTTGAATTCGTAGTTTAATGTTTGGTTGCGACAACTAAAAGGAGAAAGCTGTTAGCGCACTCCGGGATGCTTTACCGGGTCCAGCTGGGTGGAGTGCCGGAGAACACCGCTGATCTTACCTGCAGGGACGATAATCACAATGAGCAGAATAATGATACAAACGATAAGGCACACGCGCATCTTCATATCCTTCCACCACATTTGCTTCCTCACGCGGTTGGCACCTCTGCGGAATCCCTGCGCTGATGTTGCCAAATTGTCCGTCTTGTCCTGGAGGGAGTCTAGACGTTCACCACGTTCTGAAACTTTGAAGATGTTGGAGCGCATTGTATCAACGGTCTCTTGGATTTTCTAGAGGAAAAAGAAACACAGTGTTAGTGAAGTGCTTTGCGACAAATGCCATGATAGACACAAGCTCAATAACATCCAAAGGACCGGGGTTGCCGCCCAGGGTAGATGAACCCAGATGGACGTCCAGATGAGCACTGGCAAGCCGTCACATCCTATCCAACCTGGGCGACAGATCCTTGTGGTACGATAAAAGTTGGCCGCGAGGCGTTTCGGCAACTTACTTTGTCGATTTCCCTTGTCCTGGGGTCACCATTTTGCGCGGCGCTGGCGCCGGCGCCGGCTCCATTGGCGCCAGAGGGGATGTAGGGGTCGTAAGGCTGCTCGGACATGATTCTCGTGCGCAATAGATTCTATGGTCTCGGTATTCGGGGGGTGTAGGACCTGGTAAGTCACCAGACTACCTAGGTGGAAAGTGACGGGCTGCTGCCTGTTGCTGTCGTAGGGGATGAGGTGGTAAGTCGCAACGACAGACTCGACGACTGAGGGTACGGTGAAAAGCGAGAAAGGTGGAGGTCGGAGGATGGTGTGGAAGGTGGCGGGACGATGGAATGCAGGAGGGAAGTAGGATGCGTTATTGAAGGGAAGCTGACAAGGTGTGATGAATCGCCGCCCGCCTTCTGGAGATTACAGGCGTTTCGGTTCGGTCGGGGCGGTTTCACGTGACCCGCGGTCTATTGGGAAGGACGCCCCGGCACAGGCAGCTATTATTTATTTTGTGCTTAGTGGTGAGACCCAATTGGACCAGCCGCTAGAATGGAAACAAAGAGAAGGTGAAAAGCCAAAAGGTTGAGTGGCTGTATAGAGACTGCTGCTACTTGGTTTCTATTGACTACTACTGCGCCCATGGAAAGGAGAGGATACCCTGTCAATATCCACCTAGAACTTCACATGGGAAGTAGGTCTACTACAACTGTCAATACTCTCCATGTATGCACTAGGTGCAGGAGTAAAGCTCTGGTATGCCTGCAATTTTGGTAGAGAGAGCAATATAGACAGAAATAGCAACACCAGTTGTCCGTCTATTGGGCACCCTTCACTACCAAGTGTTATGAAGTATGGCAACGGTCTGCCCGACCTCATGCGTTGCTTAAGAAACACGCCCTACTATGTGGCGGTGCGTCCTCTGTAAGCATTGCTGCGCCTTCCGTCACATGCATCACGTGGCAGTCCTGCCTTAACGAGTATGGACTGTGGACCCTTTTTCCATATATCTAGATAATCGATACGATAAGGACTTGGTTGCCGAAAGAATCCTGCCAACTTCTGCATTCTTTGATCTGCTTAAGACTTGGCTAGATTTGTTGCTCATACCACATATTTCAATGTTAATTGAAATAAGTGCTTTTACCCTTCACGAATGAGATAGATGAAAATACTAGGAACGGTTTACGCTTAATCCCAAGACCTAGTGTGCAAAGAATATCTCCCTCATGACTAACAGGGGGTAATGAGATCACTTTTGGTGCTACGTCAGTGTTAACAAGAGACACAACGCTTTGCATTGCAGTTTTGATCGATGGTAGCGGAAATTGTCCGAACGGACACCTACAGGCTTATAGCCCCGACAAAAATATGAGCGATTTATACAACTCCCTTCATACAGCGGGCATCAATACGAAACATTGCAACAAATGTGTCCCAGTAGCTCATTCAAGCGTTACAATACGGTCGAATGCGATTGCATTGGCGGAAGATTTCTCGAATACGAGATCGTCATACTCAGCAGACATGCTTATTCGCTACGAAGTCCAAGTATACGCGTCGCCAACTCATGTCAAGCCAGAGGGAATAGATTTCTGCTTCAATGATACTGCCTAAAGGCGCTCCTTTCATGCAGTGGAGCGGGACCAATCGGGCCAGCAGTACTCATATCAATAAGGGCTGATGAAGTTGACCTGGATATCTGTCTATTTCTTTCCAGCGCATGAAGGTTGCCGTGCGCCTAATTACAGCTTTGGCATGCGTATAGCTGTGCCGAGTTACTCCAGGTCATCTTAAGTGGCTCTCGGTTCTCCAGATCTGTTCCAGCCGCACGCCCCCAGATCTTGGTCTTACTAGTGATCCTCTGCCGAATAACGCTTGTCGCTACAGGAGCAGTACCGGGAGTATTCCAACATCATGCCTTGTCGATACCAAGGTTAAAAGATACTCGGCTGTCATAGGCGTAGTCCGAAGAACGGCAATATCACAAAGACACAATATATAATGCAAGCGTAGGATTTCCATTCAGTCATTGAAATATAATACAGTATAGACCGTAGCCTCCGAAACTCCACAAACTCTGAGCCAAATGCTTCCCCCACAATGCTTTTTGGACAGGTCTCAGGTAGACGCAATGGGTATAAATACAAGGACGATGCAGGAGCCAACAGTCCTTCCTAGCATCATGTTCGATCCAGCTACATCTCCAGCATAAAGAAATGTCGCTAGTCACTGCGGATTCACTCCAGTGGAGATATACCTCCGCAACAAGCCTATTTCTCACCCAGCAATTCCTTCCTCATCTCCTCACGTTGTACCTTCGCATCATCCCTAGCCTGGTTCCGTTGTACCTCAGCCTCCACGCGCTTCTGTTCCTGTTGTTCCTGCGCCGCGTACCAGACTAATCAAACCCATGAAATCAGTATAGCTGCTCACAGACACACCCATAAGTTTAAAAGAAGGGGGGCCCATAAAACGCACTCGACTTATCAGACTTAGACCATTGCTTCAACCGGGTAACATATTCATCGAATTCCCGAGCCCGGCGATCACCTTCCTCCAAACTCCGCTTCTGAAGATCCGGGTTATAACGCTTGAACAATTCTTCATCGGTAGGGCGGATGTATTGGACGAAAGCCGGACCGCCGACACAGATGACGATGCCGCTAATAGTAATTTACCCCGTTAGAAAAATCGCGCGGCAAGTGCGGAAAGAAAAAGGGTGGGTGGATGGGTGTGGGATGCGCCTTACACGCCGAGCATCTTCATCCAGGTTCCTGCCCGAGACATGGTGGAGGATGGATTTATTTTCTGGGGACAATTGTTTGTTTGTTTGGTTGGGGGATGACGAGTGATGTAAGGCAAGGTGGAAGTCGCCCTGCTGTAAATGGCTAGCTAAACGCGAGAGGTTGGTTGGTTGATGTCTTCGTTGAAAGCCACAGGGGAATCGTTCGGGAAGTGCGTCTGATCTCCGACATCAATCAACATCATCATCGTAATCACGCACACGGGATTCGGCAGCGCCGATCCATATGTGTGTGTGGCGCAGCAGTGGAGGCTAATGCAGGTGGCGCAGGTTGTGGCCGTTTACTTGATTGTAAACCAATTAGGGAAGCGGAGTGGAATTATTCGGGCGGACTTCCCTTTTGTTGGTCTTCTCCCGAGGTGAAAAGACTGCTGCTGCTGCTGCTCCACTCACTATGTCACTAGAACAACACTATCAGATTTTGTGCGAATGAGCTGCTGATTTTCCCAGGGGCGGGGAATATTGTAGAGATTCTCTCTCGTCTCTTTTCCTCTGTTGAATGGTTACTGTGACGTCGGGATGTCTTAGACATTCGGTCCGCTCGGCATTGATATATCGACTTCTAAATATAATCACAAAGCAAAAGTAGGGTGGTCGGTAGAATTGCTTCATTGGTGACCATTTGCGAGGTATGAAGAATTACTTTACTCATTTGGGTCATGTGCAGCTCCATTCCACGCGTGGAACTTCCATCCGCAGATGCAGCTGATCATTATCTTAATTTAGGAAGTCTATTAGTCAAATGCTTTTACGAGGGAGAAATCATCTGGCGTTGTTAGAATAATGTGCGTTCTCATTTGCGAAAGTGGGATGTGGATAGATAGAGTATATTCGCGTAGACGCAAGGTCTGCTACTGTCCACGTTGGTATCTTTCGATGCGACATATCTGATACGTCGACGCGGCAGGGGTAACTAATATCTGCTATGGTTGAAGAGACGCGCTTGGACAGTTAACTGATTCAAGGCCGTAAATTGTGTCGGACCATCATCACTTTGTACCCCATAAGGCTCGGCGAGCCACTTGATACTACTACTACAGTAAAACACGGTTATAAGCAATTATATGAGACACACCACTAAATTGCTTATATCGAGGTCTTGCTAATATCAAATATTCTATACAAAATATCATTTTATTGCGTATTTATCCTTTTTTTAATAGAATATTATGTTCCTGATATGCTAGCGAATATAAAAATATCAAATTAATATTAAATCATATATATTTTTTGGCATCTAGCTAGAATTTAACTTACTATCTCTATATATCAATCAGCGATCGGGAATAGTATCAAAATATATAAATCACCGTGACTACGGGATACAGAGAAAGTAGTAATCTACTAATTATATATAATTTTAAACTACCTAATAAAAATAAGATCAGATAGTATTAAATATATAAAATAAAATAAAAAATCTCCGTTTTATTATGTTTTAATAGTCTATTCTAGTATAAATTCAAAATAATGATGTCTAAATTAGCTATTCTGAGCATCTAATATAAGCAATTTTGTATGGAGAAAGATCAGGAATTTAGCAATTTGCTAGTAATGGAGGATGAAGCATTTTTGTATGGTGTAGCAATTCGGACACGGTGGCAGGGTGCTTGTAATGGAGGATTGCTTATATAAGGTGTTGCTTATAACCGTGTTTTACTGTAGTAACTGGGGATAGTACGGAGTAGGTTATGTAAGATAGGTTGATGATTGATAACATCATAGGCTGGTTGTCGAACTCCAAGTGTTTATCCTTCATTGTAATTCGACGCATGGGGCTATGTCGTATTCGTATAGACCAATAGAAATGCAGCGCCTAAGTTTCGAACGGAGATTGCGCTGGAGTTTGATCCATATTGACCACTGTCGTTGTACTAAAGTAGGAAGCCCCTCAAAGATTAACTGCTTACTGACTATCCATTGGCACAAGTCTCCCAGACCCCTGATGATCAAAAGGCTCAAGACCTTGCAGCGGGTTTGTAGGTAGATAATGGGCAGATAATTGCTGTTCGAAAAATTTGGGTGCGGTAGATCTCATGTCTCAGGGGTCAATAGCCTTAAGAGGATATCCAACGTCATTTCCTAGATGGGAGTCTTGGGTAGCGCCGTGCCAAGCGGTTATCAGACTCCAACGGTTTCTGATTCTGCAGTTGAAGTAGTTGAAGAAGGGTTAGTCGGGAATGCTGGTAGGTCTGGTTGACGGTGCACTGGGATATGATACCCACTGTCGATACATGGCACGAGTGCCACCAGTCCCTCTTTAATGTCCTTCACCCAGGTTCCAAAGCCATGACTCCTGCTGCCACAGTGCCACTAGACTGAATGGGGTCGGGGGACGGAGGAGGAGATCCGTTTTGTACCGGCGAGAAGTGGACACCGATATCTAACTCTGACCAGCGACAGTATTCCCGGCGGGACGGGCGTGGGTCAATTCAGAAGAACCGTTCCAAAGTGTCAGTAGCCGACCAGTGAGTAGATAGTTGAGTGGGTGCACGAACAGTTCAGTCATGCATTATGGGGATTTCGCTAGGAGTTGCGCATGGTTGATCAGAGACAAAGGAGAGGAGAGAAGGAGGGCATAATGAGTGGGCATTCATAAAGTGTTTCATCGTCGCGGTCAATCAATCAGTAATTATAATAATAATCATAATCCCTTGTGTTGTCGCTTCCACTTTTTTTTGTCACTCCAATCTACTAGCAGAGGGGGAAGTTTTAAAATCACGGGTGGCTTTCTGTTTCCCCTCTCCATCCAGTCAGACTACTTTACCCGTCAGGTACTCTACTTAGTACTCCGGACTCCGTCCCTATAATCCTCGACCACCCAAAGACACTTATCGTCTTTACCTCCGCCAACCTCCACCACCCCCTTCTGTCACTAATTTTAAAATTCCTCCTCCCTCGGAGGTCACACGCTCTTTATTTTTCTCACAAAGGTCATTCTTCCTTTGCCATCTTTTGTATCTTTCTTTCCCTGCCCCGGTCCCGCATTCCTTCATTCCTGGCGGGGGGAAGGTTATCCCTCGTGTTCTGGTGAGTTGGTCCGGCTTCGCGCATTCGCCGTGCGATCGCGCCCCGGCTTCTGCGGTCATTTGCGCCCACAATTCGACCGCTGACAGCATTCCTTTCCCGTTCGCTAGGATACATTAATCTCGCGCTGGTCTCTCTTCAGGGTCTAATGGTTGCATATATCGCATGGAACTGTTGAATGGATCTTAGTCCCCGTGTCACTGTTCGCAGATCTATCTAGCTTCCAGTAAGCTAAGCGCCCCCCTCAACTACTAGCAGGGTCTAGCAGCATTTTGCCCTATGTACCTTTGTCTCACTGGCTGACCTCCTATTGGTGTAGATAGTGAAAGGGGGGCGTGAGCATTGTCTACGAGTGCATTGATTGTTCCCCGCGCTTCCAACCCGGATACAGAATCCGCAATCGTTTGTTCAAAAGCTCGTGTCGACTCCTTTCCCTTGTACAGTTCGCAAGATTACTGTTGGCATAATGGCATACCCTCAGCATCCAGCGCAGAGGGCGCCTCCGATGCGAAACTATGGTCCCCGCGCTCCTCCCGCCCGGGGCGGGGCCTTACAGGGTCCGCCGCCAAATGGACAATATGATTATGGCTATGACAACCAATACTATGGATACAGTAATGGTCCTCAGGGTTCAGGACGCGGTTATCCCGGTGATAGCGCAGTCCCGCGGTCTTATGGGCCTCCACCAGGGGCTCCGCGGCCTCCGCGTGGTGGCTATGGACCCCCGATGGAGGCTCGTGGATATGCACATCGCGGACGCCCTCCACCGCCGCAGGGATATGATAGCCGTCGTGGCTACGGGGACAGACCACCTCCTCAGATGAGACGGCGTGAGTATAAATGAGCCCACTTACTTGGAACATGCCGTTGACTTAGTCTAGCTGCTCGTCCGCCGCAATCCCCTGATAAGATGGCATTTGATAATCCGTTTCCATCTTTCCCTACGAAAGACCCGCGCGGACCGAGAAGTATTGAGGGTGAGATGGCCGCAATGGACCTCAATGGTGGCCCAATACCCCCTTCACAGGTGCCAGATCGTCCGCATACCTCGCATAGTAGGCGACCACCTAGACCTGTATCCCCTGGCCGTGGTAGAAGCAACTACCCCGCCGCTCCTGTGCGATCAGCAAGTACTGGCCGTCCGGCAGCTTCGTCTGTTCGAAGTGACAGGCCGTATACCGATCCTAATGACCCGCCGCCCGTACCACACGTCAATCGCAGTGCCACCATGCCAGTCCAGTCAACAATGTCACCTCCACCGCCCAAGCCTCTGTACCCTGGACAATCAACTTACCAAGATCCTTACTCTCAACCGCAACCGGGTCCGCATGAGCATTTCGATACTGAGGCATGGGTGGACAGCTATTATAACTCGGCTCATGCTGGTGAGACTGATATGCCCAACTTCGATGCGATGCCTGATTTCGCGAAGGGCGGAGTGATCGATGAAAGCTTGCCCGGCCTTGAACAGCCGAAGGCCAAGGCACCCATCGAGTCGCCCCCCTCATCTCGTGGGGGATACACCGCGTTCAACCCTCATGCAGCGAGCGATCCTTATCCGCAATCTCCGGTGGAAGCCAGGGGCGCAGTTGCGCCCAATCAGTTTGCAAATGCAGGCTTTCAGTTCGACCTGCCGAATGAGGGCCCACCAATCCAACCTGCCTATGCTCAGGCTAGTGCTGGATATGGTTACAATCCGCATCCCTACGAGGAGCCCCACCCTCAGGATCAGGGGAATTGGGGCGCCGGAATGCCAGCTTATCCTGAACCCAATAGCGGCTACCCTGTCCCAGAGCCTTCTGTCCGGGGCAATCCACCTCGCCCCTACAGGCCCAACCAACCGATGCCTGTGACTGAGCCAGCACCAGCTTTGAACCAGCCCGAAGCTGTGGATCCCCAAAAGAATCCCGATGCTCTCCCTCACCACCCCGTTCCTTTCCGTCCGGGCCACGATCAG